TTCACTTGCACGTGCGATAGCAGCACAGTTCAGAAAGACGTATGCTTTACTCGTTCTTTCCTCTTAAGAGAGTTGGGCGGGAGCCCGCCACTTTGAAAATTATCTAGTACAAGACCCTGGGGACGATGATAAGTGTCGATATTTTTGTGATTGTGATAATTACTATACAACCGATGAGTTTTGTTCTCTGAAAAGTAGCTTTGAAGATGTAGTGAGAGAGAAATGCCCTCTGTTTTTCTTAAGGTTTAGGTGGGCTCCTGTACTGCGAGAGCAGACTTCGTAACATAGCAACCAGGCAAACGCGCGGGCTCGGGCTCTGGGAATGAGATTGGCAGGTCGAAGAAGTTTCTTGCAGGTGACGTACTGGTCTCTCGACCAATGAAAAGAGGAGCAATAAAGGATAAAATAATAACAAATCTTGGATTGTTTCACAACGGCGTTTAATTGGTTTCCTTTGAAATTGTAGTTCTTAAGTAATACATTTCACCTCATTTAGCACAAAATCTCATTGACTTCAAATATTAAATTCAGGCCATTTGCTCAATAATTCGATTCATTCAGTGGTTGTACTTTATGTCTTAAGACTGTCCCTCTTGATTGAAGCACCTCACAAAAATACAAAACAATTGTTCCTTTCAAACAAAGAAATGTTGAGCTTTAAATCAATATTTTTAAGATTTCCTTTCAAATTATTTACGCAAGGAGATTTTGTGAACGATTTTTCCTTGGTATTTCCTCTCCTGATAGATAACGTGCTTCTGATGTTAGCCACCCGCGAACTGGCTTGACCAAGCTTGTCCATCCTTCTTACATGTCAAAATTTCCTTTTCATCCTCTTAATTAAATGTCAAACATGTTTGCACGCAAAGTTACAGCAAATTTCCGTAAGTTTCTCTTATGTCTACGAAGTTTTCAGGTTTCCAAATTCCCCCAAATTATAAAAATTGTAATTTCGCTTCTCGCTCACACACGAAGTATTATATAATTATACAATTACTGCCAGGAAATAGAGATATATAATTTGAAATGCTATTATGGCAAGCCAATCTTTATCTATTACTGTTCTTTGCTTCCTTTGTGACGTACACCTGTTTTTAACTGATGTGGGAATGCCATTAGTTTTATGATAATCCTTTATCTTGTTTATTTCTTTCTGGCCTCAAGCTTGAAGTTTTCATTTATAAAATCTGCAATAGAATAAATTTCACGTCATTTTAACTTTCGTTGGGATTTAGCTACGCTGCTATTTTTAAAATGAAAGGAGAACAAGTGTCGAAATGTCATTCACGCAACGCACGTTGCAAGTGAAATGTGAAATCCAATTTTTGAATTTAAGCACAACGCTAAGCCGGCAGTACAAATCTATTTAAATTGGATTTCTTTGCACTGGTCATTAATTCACGTAGGGGCGAATCAACGCTCAAACATTGGACCTGCAAAATTTGCATTGCTACGTGATTGAAGGGACCGCATTGTCTGCCTGTCAGAATGTTTGTTCTTGGAAAATTTACGATCACAAAAAGTCAAATTTGTGAGTGGATCCGACTTAATCGATGAGGTTCTAGAGTTTTTTCGTTTGCATGAAATTTGAAAACATTACCGAGGTCGGGGTTGATTGAATGGCTGACAGAGCTACAGCAATGGCTTCGATATGGAAAATGGACAATTCTAATATGTTACTAGCGCCGGAAAGTCCGAACATTCGCAGAGATGTCGAAGGTAGTACTCAACCCCCAGATTCAAGTCCACCAATGGAAACTGGTAGAAGACGAGGGTCGAACTCGCGCCTTCCCAGCTTAGCAACGTTGGTGAGAAAGTCAATTTCATTTCTTTAATATTTGTACAATTTTGTCGTTGCATCTGAGAGATTCAGAAAAGCCTGCGTGAGCGACTACATGCGCACCTTTAGGATGATAATCGGATCGGAGATTTTGGGCTCTTAATCAGCTTGCGTTGAATGCCAGTTTATTTTGTTTTCCCACAAAGTGAAAAACAACAAATTTCGGCYATGAAATATATTCATATTTRCATTAAAACTACTGGTTGTGGATGTGCTGGTTATGAATGTTGATTACTCTTCTCACCCTGTATGCTCAGATTTTCAGTAATATAATGTTCAGAACAGTTGAGACGAAAAGTTGCATAGTCATGCTTTTAAGAATGCAATCTTTGGCGCGGGGCTCATTTCGTAATGTTAAATTCAAACCTTAGTCGCCAGCGTTGGATAATTACACATAATCATGAACAAATTTCTCTTTCGCTTCATAGCACCTATTTATTTTCTAACCATCATAATACCCGTTGATTTACGTGGAAAACACTCATGCACGGGCGTGCAGTGCAATCTTGAATAAAAAACTTGCTTGTGCGAGGAACGTAATTGGGGTCAGTAATATAGCTTTTCACATGTACTTCAAAACACGATATTTAGAAGAACCTATGTCGGCGAAAGCTGTGTAAAGAAATATCAATCAAACTTTAACGGCTGGATTTGAATTTTAAAGATCTCTAGCTAGTGTCCAGTGGCATATTACAAATAAAGAAAGCTGCGCATAAAAAAGGCTTAATAAGTTAGGTCAAAAGAATAGATATTATATTATAAATATAAATATGAATTATGGCAGAGCAGGAGCAAAACTGTCACATCGAGATTACGGCTCAAATGTTCGCGTTCTCGAGGACCTGCTGTGATATCGGATAAGAAAATTTGTCATTTTGTATCGCATCCTTCTTCTGTTTGAACAAAGTGAAAGTGAATATTTTTTAGCAGCGAAAGTCGAAAAATAAAGAGGCAGAGAATAATTAGTGTTATG